GTAGGTCAATAAGTAAATAGTTTTTTTTTAATTTACATTCAACTTTTTTATTTTTATTCAATACGAAATCAAAACTATAAAATTAAATTACTTATAAAATCTAAAACTTTTATCATTATACTAATGTACCTATATACAAAAGAAATATTTTCAGCATAATACTTAATAAAGTATCAAGCACGTATTTCCTTATGTACGACGCAACTTACAACTAATTAAGTGATTGTTCGAATTACGTGTATCAACGTAACGTCATTGTACGTAATTCTTTGTATAAAAACTAAGTCGATTGTTGTGGACTATAAATCTTAAGCGTTTCCTGAAGATATGTTTAATGTATATTATATATATTAATAGTAAGTTTTTTTTTAATCCCATCAATTCTGGAAAAAAGAACATAATTGCTAAACATCTTATTTATTTTAAGAGTTGAAAATTGTGTAATCTTTATTGCGATTATGATCATGATGATGATTTGTCTATTCATGATATATAACTTTATTATAGGATAAGTGTGACAAACGAGCACACTGTTCACCTGATGGTAAGTGGATGCTGTGGCCCATAGACATCCACAGCTATCCTCGATTAATAATCACAATAAGGATGCATTGTCGACCCTGAGGACTAAGATGATGCCTCATTACTAGTAAAAAGGGTCTCCGGTTCTCTACACTCACTATACGAAATACAGCAACATTAAGCTGCTATTATACGCTGGTATTCTGTGAGATCGTAGCCCTTCCCAGGTTGAGCCGACCCATTCGTGCTGCAGCCAAAACAAAGCAGGAGCATTGCTCTACCACGTTAAAGATTATGAGATAGATAACGTATTATAGCTAAGTCATTAATGGTTCATTTAATAATAGAAGTCAATGGTTAGATTTGGACTCATACTTTCATATTTGAACGCTTTATCACTTAATTTTTAGCTGTGCCAAGTAGGTGTCGTAATAGATGACAGAACAAAACTGAAACAGGAACAGCAGCACCTTCCTGATAACAACTCAGTAATAATAATAATAATAATAATACGAAGTACAACCCATCCCCGGTACTTGAGAACGATTCGGCCCAACTTTATTGGGACAGGTCGGTTTTAACTGATCGGACAGTTGAGCATAATCGGCCGGATATAATATTAGTAGAAAAAGAGGAGAAGCGGACATGGTTGTTGGATATTGGTATTCCAAATTCGCACAATGTGCAGAAATACACCACTGAAAAGATGGTTAAATACCAGCGGCTGGCTGAAGAAATACGACAGTTAAGGCGGCAGCAGCAGGTCCATATTGTCCCGCTGATTCTCTCCACCACGGGAATTGTTCCTAAATCCCTTACTGAGAACTTAGCGAAGCTAGGTATCTCAGTGAGGGTGAGGAACAAAATACAAAAAGCCGTAATCTTGGATACGACAGCGATCGTACGTCGCCACCTCTCAATTTAAGGAATAAAGGGCGGGATCTTGCGATCAGCCGATGCCGCATCTAAAACCCCGAAAAGGAGCGCTAATGAAAGTGATAATAATAATAATATTACAAGAAAGCTTTCGACTCGGTACCGCATTCCTGGTTGGGGAAGGTACTCAAACTTTATAAGATTGATCCTGAGGTTGTTAGTCTATTGGAATGTTTTATGACAAACTGGGCAACTTCTCTTCATCTAAACTACGGCATTAACCAAAAGATAACAACAGGGTACATACCGATACGAAGAGGAATCTTCCAGGGTGACAGCCTTAGCCCATTATGGTTCTGCCTCGCGCTCAATCCCCTCTCCTCACTCCTAAATGAAACAGGACATGGGTTTCTCATAAAAGGGGCAGAAGGATATCACCGAAAGTTGACTCATCTAATGTACATGGATGATATTAAGATCTATGGGCAAATGAACGAGAGCTCCGGACATTGCTCCATTGCACCGAACAGTTTTCCAGTGACATAAATATGTCATTTGGGCTTGAAAAGTGCAGAACCATGAACGTTTACCGCAGACGAATTGAGCCATCTACAGGTGTTGATCTTCAGACAGGTGGAACGATCGGCGTAATGACAGAAAATGACACCTATAAATATCTAGGTATTCTTCAGTCACATCGAATCCAACACGGTGAAATCCGGTCGAAGATGATTGAAGTATACAATCAAAGACTTAAAGGAATCCTCAGTTCAGGCCTTAATGGACGTAACCTCGTTAAAGCAATTAACACCTTTGCCATCCCAGTGTTAACTTACACGTTCGGCATAGTCAACTGGTCAGACACTGAATTAGAGAGAGTTGAGAGGTCTACTCGCGTCATGCTCACTAAATATCTAGTACATCATCCAAAATCAGCCGTTGAGCGGGTAACTATACCTCGAGCCAAGGGTGGTAGAGGATTGATAGACATTCGTAGACTGTGTGCCAAACAGGTTCAGAGTCTCCGAAGTTATTTTCTTTCTCGGACGTCCTCTTCCCTGCACCACGTAGTGACAAAGGCCGATAACCGTCTGACGACGCTTGATCTCCTTCATGCCGACAATATTCAACCGTTAGAGACTGACGCTGAATACAAAGAAGCTAAACTCCGGCAATGGGCCTCAAAGCCTCTTCATGGTCGATTTGCAAATGAACTGACCCAACCATATGTCGACATTGAGGCGTCGAACAACTGGCTTAAACATGGTGAGATCTTTGCTGAAACTGAGGGATTCATGGTAGCGATTCAGGATCAGGTGATGCCTACGAAAAATTATCTCAGGTTCATTGTAAAGACAGGCATCGAAGATGACCAGTGTCGACGGTGTCATCAAAAGCCAGAGACCATCCAGCACATCACTGGCGGCTGCCAAGTTCTTGCTGGAACCGAGTACACCCAGCGCCACGACAATGTGGCAAAAATTATACATCAAGAACTGGCAGTACAACACGGTCTCTTAAAGGAGACAGAGCCTTACTGGAAGTACAACCCATCCCCGGTACTTGAGAACGATTCGGCCCAACTTTATTGGGACAGGTCGGTTTTAACTGATCGGACAGTTGAGCATAATCGGCCGGATATAATATTAGTAGAAAAAGAGGAGAAGCGGACATGGTTGTTGGATATTGGTATTCCAAATTCGCACAATGTGCAGAAATACACCACTGAAAAGATGGTTAAATACCAGCGGCTGGCTGAAGAAATACGACAGTTAAGGCGGCAGCAGCAGGTCCATATTGTCCCGCTGATTCTCTCCTCCACGGGAATTGTTCCTAAATCCCTTACTGAGAACTTAGCGAAGCTAGGTATCTCAGTGAGGGTGAGGAACAAAATACAAAAAGCCGTAATCTTGGATACGACAGCGATCGTACGTCGCCACCTCTCAATTTAAGGAATAAAGGGCGGGATCTTGCGATCAGCCGATGCCGCATCTAAAACCCCGAAAAGGAGCGCTAATGAAAGTGATAATAATAATAATATTGATATTATTACGTTATTTATACAATAATTTACACAATAAGTGTATCTATAAAGAAAATGTTTATAGATACCCCATAATAATTACCCCATATATTGTATAAATAACGTAATAATATTATTAATATTATTACGTTATTTATACAATATATTACACAATAAGTGTATCTATAAAGAAAACTTTATAGATACCCCATAATAATAGTAAACTATAGTTGCCTGTACGCCTGCCAAGCGTGACAACTATTGCAAAATTCGCCTCTCTGAAGTGACCCATGGTGGAGGCCTGTGTCCAGCAGTGGACTTTTAAAAAGCTATAATGAATGAATGATTATCTGAATTAGAAAATGAATGACGACATATCAACGTATATTATAATACAATGGCTAAGGAATTCACTTTACTCTCAGGTGCCTAGTAAGATTATTTTCGGTCAGCTGCCGCTAGGTTTTTTCGTGCAGAATAATACCTATCATATCAGTCTTACTTTGTATAGGTGACGTAATAGTCCATACAAACTTATTCCTTTCGCCATGTTTCTAAGTATTGCTTTTTTCCTAAAGAAAAATATTTTAAGAATCTTTTATTAATCTATAAAATTACTAAAATTGTTCAGTTATATCGTTATTACTAAACATTCAGAAAACAAATTTAAGCAACATAAAATAATTCTCGTAAAAAAAGTTAAAATCAGTTCAGTTTGGGGGGGGGGGGGGGGGACAGGAGAATATGCGAAGATAATAATTATAAAATGATTGATTGATGAAGATTTCATAAAATTTTCATTAAAAAAATCTGTCTGAGATGCATTTGTCTATCTCGGTTGTCTAACTGGATTGTTCTGGAAAAGCGTGATAGCTATATATTGTTAAAAGCTATTATTCTGTTTTTTTTTGCCGTACAAATGACCTCTCAATCAACCTTGTGTTTCCTGATACGATTTCGGTGAACAATGCTTCGTCTTTGTGGGCACAAAAAATGAAGTGAAGCGAAGAATTCCTTAATACCAGCGTAAAATAGCAGCTTAATGCTGCTGTGTTTCGTATGTTGAGTGTAGAGAACCGGAGACCCTTTTTACTGGAATAGAGGCATTCTATCTTAGTCCTCGCGGCTGAAAACGCATCTGCATTTTAATTTGCAAACGAGGATAGATGTAGATGTCTATGGGTTACAGCAACCACTTACCATCAGGTGGACTGTGGAATTCGCGATACCATCTAAACCATCTGTGTGCTTGTCGGTCCACCACTGTGCGATTCATCCGAAGTTTTCTTTTTCGCACGACTTCTGTATGGAATCAGCTACCACCAGATTTTTTCCGGAACGCAATATGCCTTTTTAAAATGAAAACAATTTTGTGCAAACAAGTGAAATTTGAATTTGTATTTTTTCCTATGAATAACTGTTATCAGATAGTGCACTAGTAAAAAAAATATATTTTTCCCATGGGAATTAACAAACAAGTTTAAAAAAAATTAAAAGCAAAAATAATATTTTATTTCTAATTCTGTGTTAAATAAGACGATAAAGCCAGTGAAATGTCACACAAAACGTCCTTTTTACGTCAAAGTATCTCATTAGTTATCTTTCGTATCCAGTCGAAATTTGCAGCTACACTAGTATATACAGTTAAACAGATCCTATTTATATATGGATCCTTGCATCCTGCTGATGTTACACCAACTAAGTTCCCTTTGTAAATCAGCGGTCCTCCTGAATCCCCTGATCCTGCTCTCACTCGACCATTAGAACAGATTAAATTCGTACTCTGAAAGAAGGGACATTTTGTTATGACAACCGTTCCTTCTCTAGGTGCATCTGAGTAAACTTCTGCGTCTCCATAGCCAGCGATAATTCCCGATTCACCAACTTCAGGGTAGTTTGTGGATAATTTAATAGGATTAATATTATATGTGTTAAAATTAATTGATTCTCTTAAATACATAAGGGCTATGTCCTTTTCATTATTTGCTATAGAATCTTTATTTAATACGTAATCCGGATGTGGCCAAACATCACGTTTCTCTATTTGGGCGATTAATCTCAAGCCTATTTTTGTAGCAAAGAAGACATCTACTCTGAGAAGATCTGTTTCAATACAATGTGCAGATGTTAGTAGCCAATAATTGCTTATAAAAGATCCACTGCATTCACCAAGAGAAGGAGCGCTCCCGTGGAATTCCAGCTTAACTAAATAAGTATGATAATCGTGAGGTATACTCTCACCTTCGAATACTCGCCTATTTAATGGTGTTGTAACTTTAAACAAACAGAATATTAAAAACAAATTAAACGTCAGTTGCACTCGTAGAAACATTGTTCAAGTACTGATACTAGTTCTTTACAGTTGGAAATGTTGTCCATATTTATTACTATACGGTTTTAGATAAGTAATGTTTATGAGACAATTTCACATATTTGAAACACTAATGAATGTTTATTTGCGTTACTGTAATTCCGAGTTAATCTAATGATAACACTGAATTAGTTACGTGTTTGAGTAAAATTGAAGTGAGCAACGAGCTTAAAATCTACCTATGTGGTAAGTGGCTACTAAAGACCAACGTCAAACAAAGGCCTCTTAGGATCAATATGGAATGCCTGTAATACTGGCTCTCAATCCTCTTCAGACTGAAACATAGTAATGCTTACCAGTCTCAGAGAGGCAGAAGAAGTCCCACGTATTATAAATTTAAGAAAAATGCGTCTACTAGCGACCTGACCCGGCTTTGCCTGAATGGGGTCTATGTATGTATGTATAAGGGTCCGTACAGATCAAGTAACATGTTATATAACTTTTGTTTTATAGCACCTCCACATTATGCAACATTGTTTTTCAACATATCAATATATAACAATACTGTACACATTAGAATAACAATGCAATATAACAATGTTATATGACATTGTCGTATGACATTGTCGTTTGTCGTTCTACCGTTCGAGGTACATATCATTTGTGTCACGTTTTATAACACGTTTTATAACATATTATGTTATATAATGTGCACGCACCATAAGATCTTTTTCATTAACAATTTTTCGTTTTTTCAAAAAAAAAATCTTAAACCTTTTCGATAAAATATAGTCTAGATCCTTTCTGAAATTACTCTCTCTCTGTTCGTAAAGTGTCACAATCGGTATAGTTGTGCTAAAGAATAGCCCGGGCAAACATACATCAGTGCCGGCGAAGACCGAGCCCAGGTTGCTCGCATATTGTAATGTTAACGGCGAGCGCCACTGTTCTTTCATAAAATGCACAAAAATTATATACAAACTTATACATGATATTATATAATAAGGTATAAATAAATTGTTAAAATAATTTGTAATCGCTATCAAATGAACAGAATATTATTAAAGTAAAATAAAACAATAAATTTTACCATTTTTTTTTAAAGTAGAAGATTGCGTAATATTCTTGGAACTATCCTCAGGGGGTAAACGCTTGCTTTTAAATTCCATAGTACGAACAAATCGATTTCGATTCCCTCTGGTACCACTGATTGCTGATTGGAATTTTAAGCGGTGATTTATAACCTGCTCGGCCGTGAAGGATTTTCCTTCGACCATCGACAAGTACATCTGAAGAACAGTGTATATTGCGAAAGTGAAATTAATTAAAAAGTATATTTCACCTGACAGTATTTTCAGGATGATGTAAGGAGTACCATAGTTGGTACAATTTAAATGCTTTAAACTCTTTATTACGACAACTGATTACTTTATACACGTACTTACCGAAATTATGTATTGTTCTACATCATTATCTGTATTTTTTACGAAAATAAAGCGAACAATGACAGTGTAGTGGTAGTGTAAGAATATCCACCACTCCATATCATGCCTGTGTGTCGTAAAAAGCAGCAACAGAGTGAAATTAAGAAACATGAGATGGGCTACAGCATCTGTATGATAACAATTCAAAGTAATGAATAGTATTAATAATTATTAAAATTTAAAATTAAAATTTAAAACTAAAATTTAAAATTAAAATTTAAAACTAAAATTTAAATTTAAACTTAAAATTAATAAATAAATATGTATAATTATTAATTAATAATTAATTGTAAAAATATGAAAAGGGAAAAAAAAGTGTATTTACAGTGTACTCATTCTAACTCAACTCAAATCTCTCGTGCAATTTAGTATCGGAGACATGGGAAATATCACAAAACTAGCAGATCCGTAAAATTATTTGTGTTTACACAAATTTATACCATGGCAACGGCTCCGTAGTGGGTTCAATTCCCTCACGGAACAAGTGTTTGTATGACCTTTTAAATTTATCCGGGTTTGAATAGGTGCCCTTGTTCAATTTATATTTGCAAACCATCCACGATACAGGAAAAAATCCCTGCTGTGGTCATGACGTTTTTTTTTTTAAATTAATAAATTAAATAATATATTGTCGTATGTTTGTGTAACCTCTAGACTAAAGTCATCAAATACTGAAAATAATGAAATTGCACCTGTATTATTACAAAGTTATTAACCCATAAAAGAGTGGACTTGGGTTATAAAATTAAAAAAGTCTTGTTGGGTTTCTTGCTGGTTCTTCCCAGGACAGAGGTATTTTTTCAAACCAGTGGTAAAGTAAAAAATGACTTTTAAAAAAGAATTACACATGTGATCTATATTGAATAAAACATTATTCTATTCTATTCTAATGAGGTATTATACGTAATAGTCACGCATAACTAACGGATTAATGATTTCGTTACCCGACCCGGCAACTTACCCCGCCCTTGTAACCCGTCGACGGCAGCAGGCGGCACGGTCGACAGTTATTTAAATACGAGTATACTTAAAGTAAAAGTAATCTAACTGCTATTATTCCTCACTGTTGGGTTATATAGTATGGCAGGCCTCTAATTTCTGAGAAAATTATAGAGTAGTAAAGATCAACGCGTTTACACGAACCATGGATTTCTCTGTGAAATGTTATTAGTGTCTCAGATATGAAAGCTTCCTCACAAAATTTCTTTATCATCAAAGAGGAAGTAAGTCAATTTCAGTTTCCGGCAGATATAGAAGGCAGTTTACTCACGTTATTTCAAATTTTATAGCTAGCGCTTTTCCACTAAACCAATAATTATTATGGCTCAGTGAAAAAGCGCATGAGACACAATTATTATGGCTTAGAAGATAAAAGTTTCTGAACTAAAAGTAGTTTTCAAAGTGACAATAAAATTGTCAGAGTGCAAAACGTGATAGATCGACGCTATTAAGTATTATTGGTGCAAGCTGAATTAGTCAGTTCCACTAGTAAAGGATTACGTGTGCTTATAATAACAGAGTAAATAGCAGGATTATGCTGCTATGTTACATTTATGGTGAGTAACGAGAACCGGAGACCCTTTTTACTGGTAACAAGGTTTGTCTTAATCCTCAAGGGTGACGATGGATCTGAAATTTGATAATTAATAAATAAAAATGAGGATATCCGCAGTAGAATCAGAGTAACCAAGACTGTGCAGCAGATCCGTAAGCTAAAGTGACAATGGACCTGGCCGGTAAGAAGCGTAGGGTGGTTTCCACTAGACGGAGGGACGATCTGATGAGAGGTGCAGAAATCGATTGTACATTATGCAAGTAGCTCAGGACTGTACTTTGTAGAATCCCTGTAAGGAGAGGTTCAGCAGTGAACTTGTTATGTGCTGTAATGATAGTGATGATGATGATTAAACGTAAAAATTCATAAAAATGAGACAAAATTTCAATAGACTACAGCATCCACTTACCATCAGGTTGTCTGTGTTTACGATTTTCGTAACCGTTACTTTTATAAAAAAAAAAACTTTCAAATAATAAACCAAAATTTAGCAAAAGGAAGTCAAACATGCTGCCGACCGGTTACGGTGAAGAAGAGGGTCCCTAATCTTAACGCATACATACGGTTAATTTAAACTACAGGAGATTAATATTAACAAGTGAATACACGAAGCAGAGGCCGCTCTACTTGTCTGTAAACAGGACAATACAGCGAGGATAGAGTCCGGCCCCTCGCCACGGCCGGTCTTCCCAGCAGCATCGGACTCCCCGAGAGCTCACTTGAATTCTTTTCTTATATACAAATACGTCAAAAAATAATAACATCGTGATGTAGACCAAGTATTCTGATTGGTTCATTCACTTATTTCGGTTGAGTGCCGTTCCAGTCACTGCACTGCAGCAAAAACTATTGCGTGCGAGCAACGACGCGCTAGCACCGTGAATAAAGTCTACTCTACACCAAAAACAATTGTCGATAATTTGCAAAAAATAAATTGCAAAAGATATTTTGTACATTAAATAATGTTACACAAAATAATGTGTTGTGATTTGTTTTGGTTTCTTTAAAAAGATAGCGTCATAAAAACACAAATTATTCTATTTTATTTACTTTTAACATATAATTTTAAATAAAATGTTTCCGTCGCGACCCTTTCAATCTTATTATTCTTATCTTGCCATGAAAGAAATATTATTTTAAATGACGCTTTATTTTAATACACGCTAGTAATTCATTTATTTGTATTTGTTAATCAATAATATAATACTCGTATATCAATAATATAATATATGTTTATCAATAATAATATACTGCGAAAGGAACTTCGTTCTAACCAAGTGTTCCACGACACCCACGCATGTTTTTTATTTAAAAAATAACGTTTTCCTTATACTACTATTTCTTCTATATCATCGAAGCACATCACATACATAAGTTGCGCACGGACAAAGACATTTTCTGTACGAGATTAGAACCCACGGCTCCACAATGCTTCAGCTTTTGCCGTATGATTACCGTACCGTACCGTTTTTACGTTACATAACGCAAAGTTAAGTACATATACGAGTATACTTTCGACTTAAGCATAATTAAAAAAAAATGTATTTTCCGACATTTAACAGAAAAGGAGAGCCGTGTGCACTATGCTTTATGTAACATACTTAACTTGTACAAAAACTACAGTTAGGCTTAAATGTTTCTTATTCATTTTGCTTACACTATACGTATTAAATAATAAATAACTTAATTAAAAAAATGGCAGATGATATTATACGAGTATCATACTGTACTACTACTATTAATATTCGTTGCTTCGTATATTTTCCTTATAGAATAAGGGGACAAACGACACAAAGTCCAACTGATGGTAAGTGGAGGCAGTATGCTGTGTGTGAAGTGGTGTGTTTACACTTATCCGTTTCCAGAATTTAAAATCAAAATGCAGACGCAATGTTACCCCTGAAGACTAAGATGGAAGGTCCCAGGTTCTCTACACTTACAGCAGCATTAACCTGCTATTTTACGCTGATATTCTGTGATAG